AAAAAGAAAACAATTTGATACAAACAGCAGTCTATATATTCGTAATACCATACCTGTTCTATACCTATACATTTATATTATTACGCCTTCCTTGCATTGAAAACACTCAAATTTAAAAAAAAAATGCACTAAAATTATCCGAATATTTCATGCAAAAAAAGTTGTTTTGAGAAACGTTGGAAATTTTGAAGTTCATACTTATATTAATAAAAAACTAAGAGTATGTCAGCAGAAGATGACATATTCCTCGCGGAAGCATCGCCAATAGCCAACCGAAAAAAATAGTAGAAAATTACCTTGTGTGTACTATAAGAACAAAATATCGATAACTATGTGTGACGTTTCTAAGGGGGGGGGGGGGGGGGGGTCTCCAGAGAAACGAACATATGACGTTTCTCGTGGACAAAATCGATATGTGAGGCTTCCCTAAGTCCGATAGCTTAAATAATATTTCAACGCTGTCGCATGTGTGTCTATTTGTCTATTTCACTATGTTTAAAATTTATTAGCTGACCCTCAATTCAGTAGGTAATTTTGTGCACTTGGAAATTTAGTACGAGTAATGTTGTATGTATATCCGAGTTTTGGCTTGCCCTGCATAAGATTCATTGTAGGCCGGCTAGAATGATATAGCAAACATAATATATAAAAAGGTCACACGCGACGGGGCATAAATACAATAAGTTGAATTTACAACTTGCATGTGAAAGGTAGATGTGCAATTTTCAACTTCCGCCCATTGGCATTGAGTATATAAAAATGGAAAACAAAATTTAAAAATAATGAAGATCATTAATTTTAGCATTCTGTGATGGGGACCGAGATATTAATATTCGTTCAAAAAATCAAATATCAAATTCAAATACAAGTTGTAAAATCAACTTATTGTTTATACATATAAAAATGGCGCATCCTATATTAAGAGGGCATAATTTAGTATATGCAATAATCTTTCGTGCTATTATATATCAGTACCGCGTCGCGTGTGATCTTTTATAAATATATTGTAGGCCGGCTAGTATGGCATAACATACTACTGTATATGGGGGAGGGCTGCCTACTATGAATCTCAGGGCAAGCGAAAACGCGGATAGAGACTAGAGTCGTAGGATATTTACTTGTACTAAATCTCCAAATGTAAAACGTTCCCTAACGTATTAAGTGAGTGTCAATTTAATTTACAGTCGAATAAACATACAGAAATAGACAAATAGACACACGTGCGTTGAAATATTATTTATAGGAATATAGCTATGACTTACAAGGCCTACATTTGTTTGTATTTTTGTCCGTTTTGATTGACCGAAACGGCGAAAGGTTATTATCACGCTAAAAGTTTCCCTTCCATCGCTGCTTATGTGTTGTGTGAGAAAGATCAAGTTGCTATTACGTATATTAAAGAATTGTAAGTGATGCGAAAGTAAAGGCAAACTTTGAACGAGAGATGAAAATTATCCTTTTCAACTTCATAAGTAAGTTTGTAAAAACAAGGAAGCCAATCAACTGTTGTTACAATATTGTCTGTTAATATTGACCGAAAGCCGGCCAAAGGCAAAGGTCATGTTTTCAACAACAACTGAAAGATAGCCATTTATTGTTAACAAATAACAATTTGATTTCTTCTTTTCTGGCAAATATTTATTAATTTGAGACTGATTTCAGTTCGTAATTTATCGGCAAGTCAGAATATTATTAAAAAGCATGTTTTACGCAATAATTTTTCCAGCAATAATTTCACACACCCCCCGGTAATTTGTTTTCGAATTTTTAACAAATTAAGAATTTTTAGTGTTCCGGTGTTCCGTGTTCCGGAATGATGCTGTTCCGGTGTTCCGGTGTTCCGTGTTCCGGTGTTCCTGGTTTTACTAATAGCCACAGGGGAGGGGGGCTGGTGGAAAAGGAGGAGGGTCAGATATTTTTGTGCATGAAAAAGGGGGGGGGCAAATATTTTTGTGCAATATAAATACCTGCCCCGCATGACCGGACCCTGTCGTACCATAAAACCTACAGATAAAAAATAGAGAGCAGTAGAACTGTAGTAAACTCCTTGACAACACCATTTATTAAACTGATTTCAACATAAACATATAGATTGGAACAGCCGTTGACTCAAAAAATGGTATAGTTGACTACGATACATGTACATAGGGCATAGTTGCCAACTCTCACGGATCCACCATGAGCATCGCAGATTTTACTAAAACCTCACGGTGAGCTCACAGCTTGTTAATTTAATATCTCACGGAGTTTCGAAAATAATCCAACTGGTTCTTAAATATGTTGGCTTTGTTGCACATTTTAACTATTAAGAGTGACTTCATTTGCGTCAAATTACATAAATAAAACTTTTTTCTTCTGAAAAAATTCACGCCAAAAATAGATAATCAAACTGATCACTTCATGCAACCTCGTACTCGTGGGTATTCAACAATATGGTTTTGTATATCTAAATAAAAGCTACCAAAACTTGTGTATATATGAACTTTAAATTGCGAATGTGCCTTTTGTTATGCATGTGAGTCAAGTATAATTGTCTATCCTCAAGGGCAACAAAATTTTAGCATCTAATTTTTCATTTCCACCAGCCCCCCCCCCTGTAATTAATGACCGGTCCCTTACGGATGTCAGATGTATTACTAAACACCTGCAGTATTCTAGCGATTTATGGCCTTTGTCTTTGAAAGCCAAGCGAAATTGTATTGTTGACAAATTGCTCAAAATTATTAAACTAATTATGAAAAATGCAGTACGTTTGATCCTTGATAACTTTGGTATCGTTGGTTTTCTCATTTTCGGCCGTATACCAGTGGATTCGTCTCACTTCTCTCGTTCAGTTGGTTTGCGTCCTCGCCCGCCCACAAAAAAGGCCCCGCTTAGGATTTTTTATTATTTTTTATTAAAAAAAAACAACTTTTATTGACCAACGGGCTGTGCAGTAATGTGCGTATTTGTATAGCCCCAGCGAGTCAACTCTCTATAGAGCGTCTTGTTATGTTTTAATACACCCTCAAAAATAGAAGTTTTATTTGGTCTTGGTTCTATTTTTAAAATCCTTTTAAGGATGAAAAGAATAAAAAGTTAAAAAAGATAAAAAGTTAAAACTTTTTATCTGTTCGTAAATGAAATAAACGTCAATCTTAAGGTGTCTAATGAAACAAGACGCGTTCACGGTTCAGGGTTCTATTTCATCCCACGGACAAACCATGACTGGGCACATAAAGCAACTTATTAAAGAGCGCCAACGTACTTTCCATACCGGCGACGCGCAATTGTGGCGCCAATACAGACGGAGGGTCCAGATAGAGATTAAAACCAGGAAAAATAACTTCTATATATACCCAAAAGATCTATAACCTGCGAAAAGACGATGTCCGTCAATGGTGGCACACTATTAACACAATGTCAGGCCGAGCGAAAAGTCAACTTCAGTTTACAATTGAGCGTAACGGACAGTTATTATCGGAAGGAGAACTGGTAAAGTCTCTAATTGACTACTTCGTAAGTGTAGCAGGTGATATCCCACCACTTGATATTTGAAGCATTCCAACATTCCTACCAGTTGCGGTGCCGCCTCCTACAATTCATCCTCATGAGGTTTGTAGTAAGCTCTTAAAACTTCAGACTAATAAGGCTATGGGCCCGGACAGTATTCCATCACGAATTTTAAAAGTGTTCGCCTATGAACTTGAATCAATATTTAATACATCTTTGTCCTATGGACTAGTACCTGTTTTATGGAAAGATTCTAGCATCATACCCATTCCGAAAGCGAAACAAACTCAGGCTGAGAGCGATACCCGCCCCATCGCACTTACCCCTGTGTTATCGAAAGTACTCGAAGATTTTTTTGTGGTTAGTTGGATTGTTGAGGACATAGGCGGACAAATCGATAATCGTCAGTATGGCAGCCTGAAGGGAACATCTACCACCCTTTGTCTTCTAGATCTTACCACAACTGGCTTCCTAAAATGGACAACCCAGTCATTACCTTAATTAGAGCTTGCTTTCTGGACTTTAGCAAAGCTTTCGATAGAATAGACCGCAATATTGTTAACAAAATTGATCGATTTGGAAGTGCGCCGTTCAATAATCCCATGGATTTGTAGCTTCCTTTCAAATCGCCGCCAGTGTGTTAAGCTGGGAGAGTGCGTGTCTCGATGGCTTTCAACTAGTGCTGGGGTACCAAATTGGGTCCAATCCTTTTTGTCATAATGATTATTGATTTGAAAATATAGTATCCCCGCGTTCCAGTAATTGGAAGTACGTAGACGACGTGACGATATCTGAGATTGTCCCAACAAGAGAGATATCTATACTACAAAACGAATTGGACGCGATTGGTGATTGGACAAGTGCCAATAATATGAAATTGAACCCCCAAAAATGTAAGGAGATGATCGTCTCCTTTCGACGAGATATTGAGCAGCCTCCACCCACCTTAGTTGTTGAAAATATTAGTCTTGAACAGGGCTGGGAAGGACAATGGGGCTGCACTCCAATAATTTGCTAATAATCTTTTTTTTTCAAAATCATGCAGACCTTTATCATTTAATCCATGACAAACTGCAAAGAATGAAGATATTACCCATACTTTCCTGCAACTTATCCAATATATAGTTAATTAAATACGCCTTCGCCCATTTAGTACTACTAAATTGTAAATTTCAACATACCAAAACGCTGTTTTCTGACCATCAGAATTGTTAAATCTTCCCCAAAGTCCAGGAAATGGCATTTCAGAGACTCTAAATATAACAATTTCCTTGGGCCTTCGGCCCTCGCTTTCAGACCCCCCAATCGAAAAGAGCTTCCTACGGCCCTGTTGAAAGAATAGAATCCAACAAAGTATTGGGTTTAGCGATCCAGAATAATCTGAAGTGGGATTTGCATACCAGTGAGATAGTAACCAAAGCATCAAAAATTAAAGATTACACATCTTACGAGTTCTCAAGCGCAGTGGAGTTTCACCGTTACATTTGCTACGAGTATATTTTTCACTCATTAGATCCCTACTCGAGTACTGCTGTCCGGTATGGCATTTATCATTGACCATCAACTTGTCAGATAAAATTGAACGGGTCCAGAAGCGCACAATGCGAATAATCTATCCCACATTAAGCTATGACGCAGCTCTAGACCAAGCCAAATGTTCGACATTACGCGCAAGACGTGATGCTTTGTGCACAAAAACTTTTGACAAAATGAGACAGCGTGATTCACGCCTTAATCATTTGAATACCACCGTCTCGGGCCAATGAACACAAATGCAATTTAAGGTACGGAAATTGACTAACACTGTCTCCTTGTAAGACGGAGCGCTTTAATTAAGAAAAGCTTTTTTCCTGCAATGTGTCTTCGATCGCATAATTTGTAAATTTTGTAAATATAAAAGTACATTTATCTTTCTGTATTAATTCATAGATTCGTAAAACAATTGTTGTAACATAATGCATGTAATACAAGGTACATTTTAATGTTGTAAATAACTTCGCAATTGCCCATTTGCGTAATAGACAAAATTTTGATCTAAACAAGTCTAGACAAAAATTTCATCACAGCTTGAAAAAGCATCACAAAATTAGTAATATTCCAAAGTTTCGTTGCGAAATGTTGTAAAATGCGGATAATATAGCCTTGCGAAGTTTGCAATTTTCAGTCATTTTAGATTATAAACGGGAACCTGACAGCCTCAAACCGTATCGGGCTGTCAATTTCCCGTTTGTAATCTAAAATGACTGAAAATTGCAAACTTCACAAGGCCATATTATCCGCATTTTACAACATTTCGCAACGAAACTTTGGAATATTACTAATGTTGTGATGCTCTTTCAAGCTGTGATGAAATATTTGTCTAGATCAAAATTTAGTCTATTACGCAAATGGTCAATTCGCTTTCGAGCGCGACGATTTTATAATAAAAAAATCTTATATTTTATACTAAAGAATGCCCGGGAACATTCGTTGAATGCCTGGGAATGCCTGGGAGTTGGGAAAGAATGCCTGGGGGAAATTACGTTAATAATTACGTTAGTTACCAGGGTCACTTTATTTACTGAGACCGAGGGAAACAGTGTGTTTTGTGGACCCGAGACCGCCGTTGTTGCCCGAGGCGAAGCCGAGTGAGGCCCGAGTCCAACAACGGCGGTCGAGCAGGGCCTTTTTTAACATATAAGCTGGGGGGGCATTTGCCCCCCCAGTCCCCCCTTGTGCCCCCCCCACCCCCCCACGAAATCACATTTTGCCCCCCCCCAGGAAAAGTCCCTTTTTCCTAAATTTATACCAACAAAACAGCGAAGAATAACAAATAAATAAACGGAAAGTAAGTTTAAGGCTTTATCCTTTGTCCTTGTTTAATTAACAAAATCGATCTAAATTGTTACGTTTTTCTACCACTAAGTAATGATAAATTATTGTTAATAATTTTTTATTTTTTGGTTGCTCAGAATGCAGGAAAGAGCATTTCCAGGTTTCAAATTTGAAAAATTTTCTGGAGATTATGCCCCCACACACGTGGCCTTCGGCCATTGGTATCCCCCTCTAATAAGTATAATGATAAATTACGGTTAATATTTTTTTTTACTTTTTGTGGGTTGTTTCCTTCTTTTATTTCAAATACAAGTATAGTTAGTATACATTTTGGAGCGCATTTGGATGCTCAGAATGCAGGAATTGGCATTTCCGTGCTTCAAATTTCAAAAATTTTCTGGGGGAGTACACCCCCCCTCATTCATGCGTGCATGGTATGTTCGGCGCACACGTGGCCTTCAGCCATTGCTATCTCCCTGTAATATATTATCTCACAGAAAGTCCCTTTTCAAAAAATGCCCCCCCACGGGAAAATCCTTAAAAAAGGCCCTGCGGTCGAGGGGCCACAAAACACACTGCTTTCCCGAGGTCTCAGTAAATAAGTGTTTTGTTATATAGTATATAATATATAAGTTTCAAAGTATGAATAATTCACCGGTTATTGGAGTGAACTTAATTTGAAACCAAAACTGGATAAATGGAACGCCGTAAATGTTTAATAAAAAGTTTAAAAAATGAACTTTGGAACTTCATGGTTGACACGCATGCGTATTGCACTCATTTTATTATTGACCGGTCAATAAACGTTTCATTTTGGACCGGTTTCCAAACATGACGTTTTGTGGACCGGTACGTTATACGGTTTTGATCAATCGGCAGGCAGAAAAATTGAACTTTGACACCAACTATATATAACAAAATCACTTGTTATATAGTTAGCCTATTTATTTAAAAAATTCCTGGTTTCTGATTGGCTAACAACCAACTGTGAAATTGTCATATCAACTCAATGGCTAACCAAATATGGATTTTTCACATTCATATTAGCAAAATGACGTCAAAGGGTTACTATGAAAAAAATTTGGACGCGTTTGCGCCATATTACTATGACGACGAGAATCATATTGACTCGCTGACGCCATTGATATGACGAACGACGACGGCTGCCGAAGGACTAAGGAATTGTTTTTTTCTCAAATACAAATAAAATAGAAATGTTTTGAATTTTTTAAATAAATAATAAAACAATTATTGAATTCGGTTTTCGCACAATATGAAGAATTATCAAGCCCTCAGTTTGCCGTTATCAACCTCAGCCTTCGGCTTCGGTTGATAACGGCAAACTTCGGGCTTGATAATTCTTCATATCGTGCTCGACCTCATTCAATACTTGTTAAATATTAAATTCCGAGCATGTGCAAGGAATTTTTAGTAGGCGATTAAGGAAACGTATTGATGCGAACACACTAACAAACGGACAGACAAACTCACAGGCAGAATATAATGCGGTGCCAAACATGGCACGGGCACCGCAATTTTGAGTTATTTGATCTACATATCTTTTAAAATTTTCTTTCATGCATTGGCTATTTCATTAACTTTCAAAAATTGAAAAATCGCGCCGCGTTGTCGAATCGCGTGCAGTGTGTCTCGGCCTTATAACTTGCATTGTAGCTACTGTTTTGAGCCGGATCCCGTTCCGTATAGATTAGAGTTTCTTTCTAGCTAGGTTAGCAAACTTGCCAACAACATGAATGATGGCATAATTGCATGACGTTGTTTGTTATAATTTATGAAATTATCTTAACTTCAGAGTGCACGTGGTCTGCCCATTTGTTAGACAGAGGCGTAGCCACGTGCGGGAATGCAGGGCGTAGCAAAACACGCTGTGTTTTACAGCGCCGTGGGAAATGGAAGGAGATTCCGGACCCCCCCCCCCTTCAGGACCAATTCTTCCAAAACACAGGAGAAACTAATGTGGTGGGGGCGTAACCTCGTATAATGCTCTCATTTCTGACATAAAAATAATATATACCAAATATGTGGCTTTCAGACTGTCATAAAACGTGTCTAAATTAAATGCATGACATTGCGTTTCGCAGACCCAAAAATAGAAATCCCCCACTCATTTGAGGCTGGCTACGCCCCTGTTTTTAGATAATAATGTGACCGCTCCTAGCTCGTTACAGAAATGCGAAGCCCAAACATGCAGGCCTGCTGATGAAAAAATGTGCGGTAGCCAGGTGGGCTGTGGACAGACAACACCTTCCATGCAATAATGAATGCTTTGGATACAACCGGCAAACGCATTTATACACGTTCTTTGTTTCTATATTGCAAGAGCTAGCACCTGTTTGTGCATTACATGCAATAGTCAATTTACAACTATAAGCTGGATATGAGCTGCCCCCAAAAAAGTGCCCAATTCACGAATATACCGAATAATAGACTTTTTTCAATAACTCGCTCATTTTATCTTTTACTGATTCATAACGCTTTGTCAGAGAAAGCGATGATCGTTGTTGGCGAGCTATATATATCTGGGTATTTTTGTCTAGTACATGCATATATAGGCTATATATCTATATGCACAAATCTAATAAATGTGAACAAATAGGCTATCAGGAAAACTAGAAATCCAAATAAAGCTAGAGAGATTGGATCAAGGAATTTTAAATTAAACACTGTCAGGGAGTTCAGTAAAATATTGAGTTGCGTCAGTTGCCTTTACGAAAAGTGATGTAATACACCAATGATCTTTGTTACAACGTGATAAGTTTTTCTAGTTAGTTTATCAATATATATGATCATACAATAAGTCAACAATAAAAAATAATAAGTTCGTATACATATATATCGCTTACCAACATTAGGATAACTGCCAATATGGAATTGAGCCATTATTTATAATGGAGATAACGTTCCTGTCAGTTAGATTTTGGTACAAACCTATTCAATCTGTTCTGTAGACTGTATTCGACACTAGTTGTTATAAGGGTAATGCTTGAAAGTGTGTTGTGACGGCCCGGAACATGACAAAATATATGAAGTGGAATTTGAATTAGGCTGGAGTTGACTGGCTAAGCAGATGCAGTATAAGCAGTACTTTTTGTTGTCTTCCGGCGACTATTACTTAAGACTCAAGTCCTAGTGGAGGAGTATTCGCCCTCCCTTTTCCCGTATTGTACTGCACTGCATGACTACGCGCGGATGTTAGGAGCGAACTCAGTTTCTTTGTATCCATGCATGCTTCACCTGGAAAGCTGTTTTCGATCAATGTAAAGCCCCGATAGAACGAGAATGAGAGTGCATGTAAGTTAAATTGTATAGCTGAAATAATCATCAAACCCTTATTTTGTTGATCAAGAGCTAGAAATGTCTTAATGTCCCCAGTATAAACAATTCGTGACTGCCTACTTTCTTGAACACTCAATCTCGTTTGACCCTGAAGCACATATCCGGCAAAGTGACTGGCGAAACAACCTCAATATGAACAGTTCGGTTAATGTTTAAAACTATAAAGAAAAAAAGAGTCGCAAATACTAATCACTTTTCTTTAAGCAAGCAAATAACAATCCCGATCTTCATTTATAATTAAGTATAATTCCCGAAAAAGTATTATTTTCGGTTGAATGATATGTTTCAGTTGAACATACTCATTATATATATATAAATATATATATATATATATATATATATATATATATATATATATATATATATATATATATATATATATATATATATATATATATATATATATATATATATATATATATTTCAAAACCTCATTAATAATTCAGGAGGAAAACACAAAGAAAAATCATAAGCGTGTCGTGGTTTTATATGTGATAAAAAATCATGTTAATTTACATAAATTTAGCTTTAATTTTCTCGGTTTAGATAAAGTTTATTTTAAAACTTACTTCGCCAATGAACTCGTATAAGATGAGTCGTTTTTGAAGCCATTTAAAGCACTTGTAGTCGTGTTTTATCACATATAAAACACTCCGCTACGCGTCGTGTTTTATATGTGATAAAACACTCCTACGCGTGCTTTAAATAGTACATATATGAAAGTTCATCCTCTGTAAGACAGATCGAGGATTAACCTGTCAGTCAATTTCAGTGCCAGGTGAGCAGGCTGAAAATACATGCACAATAAAGATAAAAAAACTACATCAGTGTTTACCTTTCTCATAATAGTCGCTAGGCGGTATATTTTCAAAACATTGAAGTGGGGCTTAATACAAAGGGCATTATAAGAAAAGATTCTTTATTACAAGATACGTTGAGATTCTTCTTTATATATTGACACCACGCATTCAGAACTATTGTCACATGCACCGAAGTTCAGTACATGCTAGGCGGAACTCTTCCGTACACTTGACGCCATGCAGTCAAGTACGTACTTCTCATGATGTCTGCAAAATACTCAGTCACCAAGTTACATTTCCTGTAGTTAAACCATTCGTGCCATTTAAAGTCACAAAAGTCATAACTTTTCATCAACATTATTATTTTGAATTATATTTGAGCGCGACTTGGAACAAACATTGTGATTTCTTTTCCGGATCTAAAAAAACACGTTTATTTTAAAGTAACTAAGGTGTTAAATACATACTTTCATTGTAAAAATGCTTACACTCCGCAATATTCATATACCTATATACCCTAAATATTCGTATTTCTATACCTCAAATATTGAATTCACCCTACTTTAAAACTAGTATTTAATATTCAATAATTATTCATCTTCCAGCCCCGAAAGTCAATACCGGACATGATATTAAGCAATTATTTGTTTGCATACCCCGCGTCCTGATCGTAATCGTAATATCTCTGTGTGGTATTGAAACTAATTATTGCCTCGTCGCAATGGTGCGAATACTAAACGATGATTTTGACTTTCGAGCTGAAATAGTACTAGACTCACTCCGAAGTGCTTTGAGTCAAAATGTCATGAAAAGTCCGCACAGTCCTTTGTTTTGAATTTTGGTCAACATTGACAACGTTTGGCGTGGTGTGGTATTGTACATAATAATATACATAAAGATATTACTCGACTGTGATTGGTTGATTTCAGTGCAGTTAATCCCAAACAGCAGTGCAATTTTCTGTAATCACAGTGCAATTTTCTGTAATCACAGTGCAAAAATCTGTAACAAACTGATCTGATTGGCGGAAAAACATTGTGATGGTTAAATCAATCAATCAGTTTAAAGGAATTTAGTTTATTAAAGAAGTAACGGTCACAGATTGCTTCAAAACAAAACAAATATGGCGCCGCGCTACACAAAGTAAAAGTTGCCTTTGCGTGGAAAATATGGCTTTTATCTTTATTTTAAATGGAAAAGCATTTACCTTAAACAAGACTAACAAAAATTACATAGTTGAGTGGAATTTTCAAGCTGTTAGCGTTGTATAATGTGATATAACAAAGCCAGGAAAACTTTGCCAGTGGAATGTTCGCTATAAACGCGTAAGTTAAAACTACAATTGTCTCGAACATTTTTATGTAAATTATTAATATTAAGTAATAGCATGGTTTCTCGTGAAATTTGGATAAACATGCACTCGTGAGTTTTTCAAAAACCTCAAATAGCACTCGTCCTTCGGACTCGTGCTATTTTGAGGTATTTGAAAAACTCACTCGTGCATGTTATATCCAAATTGCACTCGAAACCATGCTATTACCTATACGAATAGAACCGATCATATAACTGCACCCGCATGAGGTGAATGTTTCATTGCACAGCGTTTTCTTCGCAAATGAACGATATAAACGGCATCCTATTGAGTCGTCAATGCTTTTTCCAGGTAATACTCCAACCCGCGGTCAAAATATATTAGATTTAATTTGTGTAAAGTAACCTGAATTAGTGACTAACCTTAAAGCTGTAATCGAAGTGGCAGACGATGGTTTAAAATCTGGTCAATATCTAGTTTTCTTCGAGATAAATACCGTACGAGAGCCAAACTTGAAAAGACCGTTCAGTTATATAGAAGTTCATACAATTTTAGAAAAGCTGATTTTGACTCACTAAACAAAACTTTTTACTTGATGCCATTAAGTAATGGAACCGAAAGTACTAAAAGTCAAGAGGATCTCGATAATCTATGGGAAATCTGGACGGATATGATCCTGGGAGTTATCAGGCGAAAAAACCCAAAATCAAAGTCCGGAATCGAAATAAACCACCATGCATGAATAAAAAGCCGGACTTATTAAATGCTATCAAACGTAAGAAGTCCCTATATGGCGTAAATTTAAAAGAGGAAGATTTTAACGATTGACAATGTGCCCAAATGCGTCCGACTTTATTCTTTTACTTTGTCTAACGCCAGAGGATTTTACTTGTCAAGGTGTCAGAGTACGTCTGGGAGCTTAATGTGCTAACATTCCCTATCTGTGAATTTCTCTTATTAACCCATTGACTGGCAATGCACCCCACGTTATTCGTGAACTGCACTGTCTATAATCTATTACCTGTGGTTTAGGAAACCTCGCTATGGTGCAGTCGGTTCGTGCTTTTACGGTGTGCCATGCTTCTGTTGGTGATAATTAAGTTACTGCCTGATCATTTCAACTTTGGTGACAGTTGCCCATCAAATTTAATTAATCAAGGACAGACGAATGAATGTGGTTAGTATAGGTATATAGCATGGTTTCGAGTGCAATTTGGATATAACATGCACGAGTGAGTTTTTCAAAGACCTCAAAATAGCACGAGTCCGAAGGACGAGTGCTATTTGAGGTTTTTGAAAAACTCACGAGTGCATGTTTATCCAAATTTCACGAGAAACCATGCTATTACTTATTAATAATTTACATAAAAATGTTCGAGACAATTGTAGTTTTAACTTACGCGTTTATAGCGAACATTCCACTGGCAAAGTTTCCTGGCTTTGTTATATCACATTATACAACGCTAACAGCTTGAAAATTCCACTCAACTATGTAATTTTTGTTAGTCTTGTTTAAGGTAAATACTTTTCCATTTAAAAATAAAGATAAAAGCCATATTTTCCACGCAAAGGCAACTTTTACTTTGTGTAGCGCGGCGCCATATTTGTTTTGTTTTGAAGCAATCTGTGACCGTTACTTCTTTAATAAACTAAATTGCTTTAAACTGATTGGTTGATTTAACCATCACAATGTTTTTCCACCAATCAGATCAGTTTGTTACAGATTTTTGCACTGTGATTACAGAAAATTGCACTGTGATAACAGAAAATTGCACTGCTGTTTGGGATTAATTGCCCTGAAATCAACCAATCACAGTCGAGTAATATCTTTATGTATATTATTAGTTAAATTTTCTAATGTACTGTTTAATAAACGAGCAGGAGTGTTTTATTAGATTTAGAATGGACCTCAAATTAGGACCTGAAAAAACACGACCTGCGAGTTTATTAAACGGCTTCAAACACGACTACAAATTCAATAGATATACTGCCTTATTAGTATTCTTTATATAAAGAATACTAATGAGGACACGACTACAATAGATACTGCCTTATTAGTATTCTTTATATAAAGAATACTAATTAGGAGTGTTTTATCATGTTTAAAGCCACTGCACATGACCTATTATGGTTGACATGATTTGTCAATAAGCTTATGAATTATTAATGAGTGTTTGAAAAAAATGTTTAGCCATGAAGGTGACTGGGTCTTCGATATCAACTCTTCACAAGGTACCCTATAGTAATTAATGCTTGTTGAGCTACAGTACGACAGGAACGCTTTGTTACTTTACAGTGAGTACTGTCCATGCTTATGCAGTAATATACATTATACATAAATGCATTGTACATATGATTCGATTAAGGTTCTCTTTCAAAAACTTAAACTTTAAACTCTGATTGCGAAAGGGATAATGGATTATTGATCTCTGGCATACTCTGAATACTAGGTTCAAGCTCCGGTCTTACTGTTTGGAAGAACAGTCTTAATTGAATTACCTGCATATATTGATAATATATATATATATATATATATATATATATATATATATATATATATATATATATATATATATATATATATATATATATATATACATACATAAAACGTAATTATTTAGAAACATACCGCTCTAATATACAGTATTTGTAACTTATTACAGGCAATGCAGTTGTTGCTGCAGTTGGTATCAAGCGAAATGGTCTTTGTATTGTCCAATCTGATGATGAAGAATTCGTCACGAAAAGAAACTTCAGAAAGCTGATGGATGGCAAGTAAAACAATTATAAGACTGTTGAATTTGTAGATGTAAATAGAGTACTTGACTTTCATGTTTATATATTTATATTATTTCAAGAATTAAACGGTTTCTAAACCTGGCATGCACCTGTACATCGTAACTTTTTTCTATCAACTTATAGTACTTGGCTTCTAATAGGACCTATTGGCTTGTATAAGGGGATCAGAAATTCTGAACCCCGTGTCTCGAGATTTATCATTTTTTGCATGATTTTGCGGAATTCTATGTTGCAGGGTTCAGATTTTCTGACACCTTTCTACAATATTGGGCCTAAAGCCTGCAGAAATCACTTTAGTATTTGGCTTCTAAGGGGGTCAGAAATTCTGAACCCTTCGTCTCGAGATTTATCATTTTTGCATGATTTTTCGGAATTCTATGTTGCAGGGTTCAGATTTTCTGACATCTTTTTACAGAAATCACTTTAGTATTTGGCTTCTAAGGGGGTCAGAAATCCTGAACCCTGCGTCTCGAGATTTATCATTTTTTAATGATTTGCGTAATTCTATGTTGCAGGGTTCAAATTTTCTGATACCTTTATACAATATTGGGACTTAATTAAAGCCTTCAGAAATCACTTTAGTATTTGGCTTCTGAGGGGGTCAGAAATTCTGAACCCTGCGTCTCGAGATTTATCATTTTTGCAGGTTCAGATTTTCTGACACCTTTTTACAATATTGGGGCCTAAAGCCTTCAGAAATTCTGAACCCTTAGCATTCACTCTAGTATTTCTTGTAAGGGGTCGGAAATTCTGAATCCCGTGTCTCGTCGAGCTAGATTTGTCATTTTTGTAGAATTTTGTGTATTTACATGTTGCAGGGTTCAGATTTTCTGAATCCCTTTCATAAGGATTGTATTTCAGTTCAACTAAATAGTGTAGTCCGCATAATTGCGTTTCTTTTTTAAATTCTGCGGATAAAATGCTACTTTGGAAACTCACAATTTAGTTTGGAACACGTTCAGCGAATAAAAAATTGGATTCACACATAAAGAAAACAGAAGTGAGTGCAAACGCCCCGCTAATCCCGCATAGCCCCGGGGTTGGGGGGGGGGGGGTTACATTGACTGGTGCATTACAATGCTATATAGTTATAAATAATATAACTTGAAATTCGATGTTCTGTACATATGATCCATTACAGAACAAATTCGCATATAGCACCGTCGCACGTTGTTGTCCTGTTTACATTGTACTGATTAAATTTGTCAGTGCAATCATGACAGGGCTGTATGCAGGATTTTTTCACCAGGAGGGGGGAGTAAGGCCATAATTTTCTCTAGGGTGGGGGGGGCAGTTGCCCCTCCTGCTCATGCCCCCCCCCTCCCTTGCTGTACACGTCCCTGAATCATGAAATACCTTTACATATATTTCATTTTAATTTCTTTTTTGTTTTTCTCCGATACAGGGTATCCATTGAAATTTCATTTTCTTGTTGCCGAAACCAATGGTCTAGTTTTTCATCTTGTTGGGGTGTGTTCAAAAGCAATTACAGTATACCTTATGTGGCAGTTTTAGAATTAATTTTAATATATGTACTTCCATCCTGGCACAAATCCAGGTACTTTCTCCTTTATTTGTGTTGCAACAGGTGCACATAGAGTCTCAGGCTGTAGGGTGGTGCATAAGTCGGAAAGTGTTACTTTGAATGGGCCAATATCTAGCACGGCATCGCTGGCCCTTAATGGTAGTTTGCTCGAGTTGACAATGGATACAGGGTCACATTTTTGCAGCTGCAGATTGTCATGCAAGAAACTATAAACAAAGTAGAAAAGTTGTATCATTTTCGTGTACGATATATACAATGTAGAATCTTTCATTCACATATTGGTCACAATAACTTGTTTTTTCTTACCTACTGAATGGAGGCTTGGGGGATACCTCGGACTCTGTCAACTGTATATCACCAGAGTACCAGACTGCCGTCCAGAAGGATATCGATCTTCGGCATCACTCCTTGTTCCAGATGTTAAATATCGAGTCAATCTGTATAAAGGAAGTTCAAAAATTTGAGGAAACCAAAGGCTTGGGTTAAAACCACCAATATACTCTTCCGAAAAATACGTCATCGTTGCTATAGAGCCTCGTTTTCATGATTGCGACGTTGGGACTTAGCTAATGTCAAAAACACGAAAACGAGGCTCTGTAGCCAAAGTGACATACTTTCCGGAAGGGTGTATTGCATGACCGCGGGGAATTCTGATTTCTACAGTTTTGGGCTAACATATAAGCAAAAGAATAAAAACACGCAATGGATAAAACGAAAATGAAATGGATAAAATAACACAATGGATAAAAGAAACAGCAAAACAGATAACAGACTGTACAATTAACAGGGTTACTTACTTCTTCTGTTGTTATAGGTGTCGTTGATTCTTCGTCGGTTAAGTCGATAAGGCGCACATTCGTTGCTTTCTTTGAGAACTTTTTTCGCATTGGCAGTTTCTTATGGAACACCTTGTGGTAATCCACACTTGTTTTCTTCAACTTTTTCTTCACGGGACTTTGTCTTAGAGGAATACCATTTTGTTCAGGACAGTGTTGTTGAACGTTGGCAAGGATGGCATCAACGGCTGAAGTTGCATTTTGAAGAACATTCGCGTCATCGATAAGGAAAATGAGATTTTTCAAACTATCTATTTTCCCCAAAAGAAGCTTTCTAAGTTTCAGTGGATTTGAAATTTCTCTCTCCTCTTTCTGAGGTGGCTCTTCCAAGCTATTAACTTTCCAAAGACTATCACTTTCAGTAATATCGCTATGATCAGCACAGGCCTTTGTTTTGCTATCTAGATTAACGTTGCTCCCATTACGATCATTAGCGAAAGAATCCACCAAGCTTTGCGATGGTTGTTCGTCTGTTGTAACGTCCGTTGGTGCAGTCGTTAAATGCTCTGTATCAAGGGTAATAAACACGCTATTTTTGTAGAATTCAGGGAGACGCGAAAAATTCCACTCTTCGAAGAAATTGAAAATCGCATAGAAATGTTTACAAGGGTACTGAGTTTTCCTCCAACTCTCACACTGACAGCTTGGTTGTCCGAAATGTAAGGCGTAAAACGTGTCACTGTCACAGCTGCTTCTCATAAAAAATTCCCCCCTTTTCATGGTTAACGCATCTAATATCATACTGCTTGTATTCAGCTGAGGCAAAGTTACTCTTTAAACAGAGTTTGACAAACTGAGGTGGTCGATTGTGTAGGTATTTTGGGATTGCTGGGTTGTATTTTCTATAGGAACTGCTAAGTCTCAAATTGATATCCATGCATCGCTGATATGAGTCCGGTATAAATGATTCCACGAGCATTATTGCAATCCCGTAGATGGACTTATCAATGGATCGAGGTAGATAGTTATACTTGAAAAGATGATTTTGCCTCTCAACGCCATTGTTGGTATTAACTATATTTGCTATCTGTTGCTTTCTGAACGCATGGGCCCAGTAACTAGAGCATTGCAACCAAACCTTTTCAGAATAATTACGTACTTTAGGGTTGCCATGATAGACGTGGGACTTCCTCAATTCTTCCACGTTCTTGTCGAACTGGGTCACTGTGTTTGCGTATGCTATTTTTTGCTACAGTCTAACAAATTCCTGTTGATCGTCATGATTCAGACAATTTTTCCCAGCCTTTGACCACTTTTGCCACGCCTGTATCCTGTGGAAATCGCATATGTATACGGACCCTTTGGGGAAAGATTTTTCAATGGCGTCTATCTCTGCTAGAGAATAATCAACCATGAAATACTTCGGTTTCCAGGATGGATTCCAAGTTTTCAAAATTCCAAGGGCCTCTTCAATGCTCGCCGAGTCCTCATTTTGGCACATAAACTCAGCTACAACCGTGTATCCAGTATTTCCATGTACGCAGACGAAAAATAGAGGGATGGCGTACTTCGTCGTTTCATATGTTGCGTCCATAAGAACGAGCTCTCCACCGTACCTTAAAAGAAGTTTTCTTTGCCATTCCTCCTGATGTACAAATAAGAATTTTGTTTCTTTACAGCCACTAACTTCATCTCTTGTCCTTGGAATTTGGAGATTTCTTCTTCCATTCATCCACTTTCACTCGTAAGGATTCTTGGAAATCACAGGAATATTTGTTCACGCTAATTGCTTTTGCAATGTGGTTGCGCAGATCCTGCCTACTGGGGTAGTATCTTCGGTTGGATTTACTTGGTTTTTCGCTGCTATTACCAAAAAGCTCTTTCTCGATATATTGTTCAAGACATTTACTAACTATCACGGGATTGGTGATATTTTTCGATACAAGTTCGTGGATTTTGTCAATGACTTTTCCATCTACGTAGTGGCTAACTGTTGCTGACTTTCCTACAGGGTGCGACGTATGTTCCAACATTAAAGGAATCTTGAAATAGTAGTGCATTATGGTGTCATATTTTTATTTTTCGACAAATCATCTCGGAACCTTTGCAAAAGGGCTTCCTTACATTTTCGCATTCCTTTTTTTGAGGCGCATTCATTTACCTTGTATTCAGTAAACACTTTAATAGCGCGCACTTGTATCGTTGCGGAGCAGTCCAGTTTCCTGGTCCTTGAATTTTTATGTAGCCTCCAGAACCTCTTGAATAATCATGCTCTGATCCATTTGGTTGATTTTTTCCTCCCCTAGCATCCTAAAATGATCCAGCAATATGTAGTCAGGAAACAGAGGAACATTCAGAAGAAACAGATTTATGTAGAGGCTATTGGATGACTTAAGCCTTTTGTGGAAAATTGCGAATACGCAGGACATTGCTTAGTTGAGCTGGGTTTTTTTTGTAATAACAATTGAAAATTGATGTTTTTACGAATGTGTGCTTGCTTTATTCTGTATTACACAGTCCTGATATATCTTAAATATTTAGAATTTGGCCAATGTTGTGCACATCAGCCTTTGCCTTCCGCAGATAACATTGACCTTGGTCAGAATAATTCTGGTTATCCCCAGTGCCATAACTCCTAATTAAGGGCTGTGCCTGACGAGAGCCAGGGCCCCTTGCCAAAGCCTTGCACAAGTTTAAATAATATCCCAGTTAAGGAATTCTAACACCACCTTCCCCCCCTTTTCAGTTCAAGCCGGGAGCCCTTAATACGTGGTTGACAATTTTTGCCTGTCTTGCACATTATGTTGCGCATTCTGAGTTTAGGATCAGGGGTGAAGACAGGTTAGAGATTCATGTCTAGCTGTTTATGAATGCTGATCCAAATCCTTACCCTGATCAGGACAAAACAGACATGAATCCATATCCCGTCTTCGTTCTTCTGCCTTCGTTCACAACGAATATTTTGGCAAAATTCGTTGTGAACTTCGTTCCGAACGAAGGCAGAAGAACAAAAACGGGATATAGTTTCATGTCTCGCTGTTTTTTTCTGGGTCAGGGCAAGAATTAGGGTCAGTATTCATAAGCAGCGACACATGGGAAGACACGCTGAGCAACCACCAGTGACGTCCAACTCAGTATGCGCAAGATAATGTGCAGACGGCAAAAATTGTCAAGTACGTCTTCGTACTTCGTTGTCTTGCTCAAACTCTACACAGTCACAAGCTAAACCCTCTGAAATTTGATGTCCTTGACAAGGGTGGTTAAGGGTTATTTTAACTCCCATGCTTGTTCATTAAATTGATTATTAATTTGTACTTTAAGACCTTATGCATAATGACGTCACAAGGCTTGATGCCCGCGAGTAATGCTGGTCTTTGTAGTCATCGCCCGGGAAAATTTCAATAGTGGCCATTTTGAATTGTTTAATTTTCCCGGGCGATGACTACTAAGACCAGCATTCCTTGCGGGCATCAAGCATTGTGACGTCACTATGCATAAGGTCTATTGCCAGAATTGAACAACACGAACAACACAGGGGAGTCACTATTGTATGACTGTAAATTACTATTATTAACAGACATCATGTTAGTAATAATTCCTCCCTTATTTTAAAATTTACAACCTTTACTGTTCCATGAATGCAGTTTCTTGTTTCATTGCTGACCACCATGAAAGGGTGTGAAAAGAATGTTATGGGTACATTTCCACCTTTGTATTCAAATACAGGTAGTGCTGTTGAAAGTGGAATGACAAAAAGTAAATATGTTGTTCTAATGCCTGATTAAAGTGTCCCAGGGAAGGCATACAATAAATTTATTAAGAGGGGTATTTCTCTGTATCTTAAAGCAATTTTTTGTGGGGGGAGGGGGCTTTATATCAAAGGAGGTGACCAAATGCTTGGGGCATTTACAGTGGCATAGCCATGTCATCCTTTGAATGTGTAGGGATTATGGTGCATTCTCACCCAGGAAAATGTTAAAATCTCTGGCCATAGTGCCTTTTAGAGGTCATGTTATAGAGTTTTGTTGCTGTAACAGGTAAATAAAAGAACAACCCAAAACATAACAAAATAGGGGGTTGACCCCATTGTAGGGTATTACCACCCCCACCACAGGCCCTGTTTAGGATTTTTATTTTATCATTTTGAAATATATAAAAAAGTTCAAAAAATATAATTGTAGTACTGCGCAAGAATATTCAGTTTCGGACCTATAAAAACCAAGTCTTTAAAAATTAGAATAAATTTTTAAAAAACCCTCCCGCCCACTTTTTGGTAAAAGCTAAGGACGCTAACCAACTATTTTTTATGTGGCCTTATTAACTGTGTATGAAGGTTGATCAACAACCTCTTTCTTACCTCAGTTAGAAAACCTTTTGTGACCTTTAGCTTTATCGTGACACTGGGAACAGACAAAGCAAGTATAGACGTCATTGACATGAAATTGTCAAGAAATTCTTCCATCTGGGATTTATCTCCCTCGATAAAGCCATAAGTGGCATAACACAAATTGCCCCTTCTTTCAAACTTTTTTTTTTAGAAAAGTTATTTCGCTCGAGATTTCGCGATCACTGTCACTTGAGGCCATTTTGTAGTTTGTAGTTCTCGCCAATTTTCATAATTCGCGCGGGAATTCGAATTGTGTTAATTACTGCTAAATGTTGAGCCGCTGACATGATCTGATCTGATCGCGGACGGGGGTCACAGAACGCCCGGGATAAATTGACTACCGATGAAACATTTAATTAAAAGGTTAGTATAAATTTACACATTTATAAATTTTCTGGTGTGCTCCCTTGAACTGTGTTAGTATTCTAGAAAAAGTGCTGTAGAGTAGTTTAACTAACCAAGAGAACATTATATTTGCTGTGTTCGTGTAATGTACTCAGGTGAATAAGATGCTTGTGATGTTACTCTGAGTGTATATCCACACCGCGCAGACCTGAAAATTTATGCCTGCATGGCCACGGTGGGAATCGAGCCTACGACCTTTGGAATACTAGCCCAACGCTCTGCCAACTGAGCTACGCAGTCAGGTCGGTTCGAGTATGTGATATTTCGGAACTGAGTCTAGCTCCTTTGGTGTGGATAACTTAGATATACTCACTCAGAGTAACATCACAAGCATCTTATTTATCTGAGTACATTAGACCAACACAGCAAATATCATGATTATTAGATTACATCGAAATCGAAGGAACTAGACTCAGTTCCGCGTAGCTCAGTTGGCAGAGCGTTTGGCTAGTATTCCAAAGGTCGTAGGTTCGATTCCCACTGTGGCCAGGCATATTTTTCAGGCCTGCCCGGTGTGGATATACACTCAGAGTAACATCACAAGCATCAAAAGAACATTTTTTAACATTGCAAATGTTTCGGACTTTGTACTTTTCCCTCGCGTGACCTTTTCCCCATTTTTTACAAACGTACAATGCCATATAATAATAAACTTACTGAGCTCGACCGTTCAGGTAGTACGGGAAAATATCCAACCTCGGTCTTGCTATATTGACCTCGTGCTTCCACTCTACAAAAACAATTTTTATTATCATTCATGTGTGAGATTTGACAACAGATCGAATAAATGGAAGCATGACTATCGTGCGAACGGGCAGGGCCTTTTGGAGATAGGGAACTGATCAAACCTTTTCGTCTCGAATGTTTTCGTCAAACCAATATGTTTATTGACCAAGAGCATAAATCCGGGGGCATCACGTTTTGGACATTCGTAATACAATTTATAATATATACGCCCGTTGACCGCCTTTGTCCCTTCCCCACTTTTTGGAATGGATTTTTTGTTTAATTTAATGCACTTGGTGCCTGCCGTACGGCTGATGCCATTATAGGGAGTTTTTAAACTTAAAAGCTTTGGGTTTGCGGGAACTGCAAACGGTAAGGCCGACTTTTCTTGGTATAATTTTCGTTCGATTTCTGCGTGCCATATTTTCTTTCAGATGACACAAGAATAGTTAAGCGTTCTAGTTATAGAACAACAAGCCCATATACTTTTTATTGCTTTATATCGTAAAACTTTTCTTTGCCTGACGTTTGTCGTTTGTCCTTGATTTGAACGCGAAGCTTAAGCTATATTGCCCGCTGCGAACAGGGTTATATACGCAGGTTCATGTGTCGGTTTTTCCTGGCTAGTGTTAGGTTAACCCGAACTTAAAATAAACAACGAATAGACAAATCAAACCCTATAAATCAAATAATTATGTCAATCAAACCCCAAATTAACCTAATATTATAAACCTCTAACCAAGCACAGGTTCAAAATTATCGTTGAAGATCCACCACATTGTATGTTCAGAAGATCATCTCGAATCAGGCGAATGAACGATAATCCAGAGATTGGACTCTGTTGGGATAAGTACGCCATTTGCTGCGTCCAGATTGACGTACATACTTTTACCATTGATTTATTGCATTTAGTTAACCACAATTTAAAATATCGCATTTGAAAAGTTAATTAACAAGGCTAATAAAACATTCTATTTCTATATTTTATACATTGTCACGCATTTGTTCAAAAGCGTACGCCACGTTCAGTACTGTCACTTCATCAAACATTTTACCAACAATCATCATTCCTACAGGTAACCCATGTGAAAATCCAGCGTTGATTGACAAGGCTGGATGACCTGAGACATCAAATGGAGCAGTGTTGTTGGTCATTTCGAAGGCTTTCTCAAGATGTTCTAGGTTTAAAAATCAAAGACGAAGAAATATGTGTTATATAACTTACACGTCCCTAAAGGTATACATTAGACAACTAAACGACGTTCTTGACAATACACATTTAGCCATCAATTATGGCGTGAGCAGTTTTTGCTTGAAGAAGACGCAAGGATCAGCACTGCTCGAAGGGTTTTAACAATGATTGCACTTTCACGCCCCATTTATTTTTGGATAATCTACATGTTTTTCGTAACATCCGAAAGAAATCTGAATGGAATTTGATGGGGCTAAATCGCCGAAATATGCTGATTTCTACGACACCTTTTCGCGCGCTGTTTACCTTGCAAAACAAGTTGTCTACAAGATTATTTGCTTCAACAAGGCAGCATTTCACAAGAATCATGTTAAGGGGAGAAAGACTTCCAGGTGTGAAAGTGTAACCCGAGACGCTGTATTAAGAATAGTACTGATTGAAATTTGAAACACGCCATGGCCTTTGGAGCGCACTACTTTGGACTATTTAAAACACGACTACAAGTGCTTTAAATAGCTTAAAAAACGACTCATCTTATACGAGTTCATTGGCGAAGTAATTTTTACAATAAACTTTGTCTAAACCGAGAAAATCAAAGCTAAAGTTTATGTAAATTAACATGATTTTATATCACATATAAAACCACGACACGCTTATGATTTTTCTTTGTGTTTTGCTCCTGAATTATTAATGAGCTTTTTAAATATATATATATATATATATATATATATATATATATATATATATATATATATATATATATATATATATATATATATATATATATATATATATACATATATATATATATATATATATATATATATATATACTATTTCAAGCACGCGTAGGAGTGTTTTATCAGATATAAAACGCGAGGCGCAGCCGAGCGTTTTATATCTGATGAAACACGACTACAAGTGCTTTAAATGGCTTAAAAAGCGACTCATCTTATATGAGTTCATTGG